CCCGTTCTAAAAAATCATGCGTATCCCATCAAACATAGAGTCATTAAACTCCATAACTACATTTTATTTCAAGGGTTATATCATCAAGAGTTGGAAACTGCTATTATTATTCCTATTGCCAAACTAAATACGCTAATGATATTTTAATTTTTTCTAAGACTAAGGACTTGACGCAAGTAAAAATTATTTTTTCTAACATACTAAACGATCTAATCAATTGGTCCAAATCTTCAGGAGCTCAGATTTAAGCTGAAAAAGTAATTTTTTCACATATGCAGAAAATACAAATAAATACATACATCCAACCCTCTCCTTGTCTAACACCCCTCCCCTATACTGATACATGGAAAATATTTGGAATGATTTTTTACAATAAACCTACTTTTAAGCAGAACTGTCATTATGTTAAAGTTGACTTTGGGCTCGTAATTTATGGACACTGCGCAAAAAAAAAACATCTTAAATTGCTAGAAACACCTTACTATGTAGCAGAGGAGAAAAAGCATCCGTGCATTTCCCACCTCGCCAATAAAAGCTATCTCTCACGTCGAATCCTGCTTTCAACAAAAAAACTGATGTAGCAAGCAATCACCTTTATTTCGTATATTAAGCTACATCAAAGATTTCGACATCATCCGATGCTTACTAAAGTAAAAACTCTACCGCAAGAGCATTTGCCCAGTTTGATACTCATAAATTACCTGGGAGCTTATTTTCACAGACGGTTCCAGATATGGTGGTAACAAAAGGGCTGGGTGTTACAATTGTCTTCAGTGCTTTTCCCCCGTACTGCTCGGCATTTACAGCCGAATCAGCTGTAAGTTTCGCCTCTATAAACGAAGGAAATTTCATCATCTGAACGGACAGTAAACCAGCCAGCGAAGCCTCTTTTAACAGTGCTAATGATTCTCATATAATTTCGAAATCACGTGAAATACTCTTTTGACACAAAAACACATTTAAAATTATGTGGTTACCTGGGCACATCGGAATAGAAGGGAACGAATTTTCACACCTATGATTTCTGCATTAAAATCTTAGTTTAACATAGTATTTACGTCTAAAGAACTGACATTTTCATTATTCTGCAAAACCCTCTATCAGCAAATTTTTCTATATAAATAGTTATAAATCGAATTGCAATAACCTCTATCTGATCTTTAAACTAAAATTAAATGAATTAAAAGTAAAAAACTAGTTTTAGTATATTGCGTGAATATTTAAGACATGCGTGTGTACTTAAAATTATTAACACTTTTAAAAACAGCTGCCAAAACAGTTTTTTTGCTCTCCTGAAAAATTGAGTTTTTGCAGATAGAGGGTATTGAATATAAGCCCTCGATATATCGATGTTCTTGTCTCGTGTAGACAATTTTTTTGTTCTAAAGTTCTAGTACTTACCTACCAGATCCCAGTTCCTGTCAACCTAACGTACCACCCTTTATCTTTATCTTTATCTTTATCTTTATCTTTATCTTTATCTTTATCTTTATCTTTATCCTTATCCTTATCCTTATCCTTATCCTTATCCTTATCCTTATCTTTATCTTTATCTTTATCTTTATGTTTATGTTTATGTTTATGTTTATGTTTATCTTTATCTTTATCTTTATCTTTATCTTTATCTTTATCTTTATCTTTATCTTTATCTTTACCTTTATCGAAATTGCCTTGCACAAGTACTTTACCCCCTGGATGTTGCGCTGCTTTTTGTTTGCTTATAATGTTGTACGGCCTAATGCACAAAATTTGTTTGAAAATTCCTCAACACTGATGTCACATAAAATAAATATTTGAATTAATTAAATAATAAACATTTCTACTACTCTTACAAAATAATTTCGTAGAAATTCATATCTCCAACATCCGAAATAAATAACAAACGTTCTTTGAAGTACCGTGATTCGTAGTAGAAACAAGTAACTTTTAGCAAAAAAAAACCGACTTAAAAAAAATATATATATATCTATA